TTCTTGTATGTCATTAAGAATGGCATGGGTTCATTTATATTTTCATGATGGATGGGTTTGTAAGAAAAACACTTGTTGCCTTTACTTGTCTATATGCATTTGGCTTAGGAGATAGTCCATGCTTAGTCTGAAGGTGTTCATCCATGTGGTTACCTTACAAATTTGGTTTAAGCATCTGTTTTTGTTTTTCAACTCTTAGCTTATCACTTTGATTCTTAAAGGCTGGGATGTGTTTAGTCGAAAGGTTGGTTACTTAGTCCAGAAATTGAAGTTTCATGATTGCTATCTTAATTGGTGTAAATCTGTGGATACTTAGTATAATTGAGCACATGTATTTGTTTGAAAATGAAGTTTGGATTGGTTAAACATGCCAAGGTCTAGTTATAAGTGTGAATCAAAAGTATATGGATCCTTGTGATAGAAGTCTTAAATTAAATCAAGTTTGATTTTCCTGCTTGTTTAGTTTGTCAATTCATGTTTACATTATCCATCTGATTTTGTACCAAGCAGAAGCCATCGTTTGTTTTAGATTAACTTGAGGTCGTTTGAATTGGTTGGATTAAGCGTTGGTTCTTTTAGGGTAACTGCGAATTAAGTCGTATGGTCAAAAATCGTTTGGGCCAAGCGGATCGTTGGGCAAGGAAAAGGCACGGTGGGATTCGAATTGGCTCATAATGCTTAGAAATTGGACCCGTTCTATTTGTTTTAAATAATCTGACGGTTGCAAGCTCAGGGACTCGATCTGGAGTCCCTCTTTCCGCTGACGCCCAGCTTCCCCAAAGATTGGGGCTCATGCTCGGGCCCAAATTGGGCAGCCCTTTGTTCATTAAGCCATCAGCTCATTTGGAGTTTGATTAAACCCGTTTGCTTAAATAACCAACCCTATCTTGTAAGCCTTTAGAGAAACCTTTAATTACACTTGCCGTTTTGATTAATTAGGCTCTTATCAACAGTCGGGGTCTGCCATAGTTAACAAAAATAGTTTATGGCCCTCTTGTTTTAATTTAGAAACCTTTGGGTTATTCGAGGTGTGCCGTGCCGAACAAAAATCTCAATTGCATGGCCCTCATTTTTGATCAATTTTGTTTTATCCTTAGAAATCGAGGCGCGCCATTTAGCGAATTTCCATGGCCCTCACAAAGTTGAAAATGCATAGTTGCTTTAGGCGCGTAATTTAAAATTACCTTCCTAAACTCGGGTGCGCATTTATGTGACCCAAATCTGAATCTCAACAATGTTAAATAAAATATGTCGAGGACCGCGGGTGCATTTATGTGACGTGGTTCAAGACGTATTTTAATGACGTTGCAATCTTCCTTTAAAATAAATAAAAGCGGTTATAAAGTTAAAACTGAACATCGGATAAAACATGTAATAAAATCAGATAATCAGGACAATTATAACAATTAAGCGACCGTGCTAGAACCACGGAACTCGAGAATGCCTAACACTTTCTTCCGGGTTAACAGAATTCCTTACCCGGATTTCTGTGTTCGCGGACTGTAAAATAGAGTCAATCTTTTCCTCGATTCGGGAGTTGAACCGGTGACTTGGGACACCATAAATTATCCCAAGTGGTGACTCTGAATCTTTAAATGAAATAATCCCGTTTCGATTGTCCTTTAATTGAAAAAATTCCCTTATACCCTTCCGGGGTGTAGGTAAAAAGGAGGTGTGACACACACTATAGGGCCAATTTGACTTAAGCAAACATCGAAAACACGACAGAATTCGAGAATAACAGGATCAATAGCAGGTTTAAATCCTAATGTCAAAGGGTATGTATAAACAATGGAAAATCCAATTAAATAAAAGGTGATTCTTTGATTCGCGTTGAGAATTATGATAGGGAAGTCATGACTCCAATGACAGTCTTTACGAACTAAAGAAATCAGGCCCTCTGTGATCTGAGTTGGATAGATATCAGCACGATCTAAAGAGGACACTTGATTTCTAAGGGATTCCTTATCATTGTAGAAAGATAGTTCCGCAGGAACTATTCTACTGTAGGTTCACGAACAGGTTCAGCGGGTTCTTTACCCCTGGAAGAAGATCTTTGTGAGAAAGAACCTCTGTTTCTAAAAGAAGGACTGGAACTAGATAAAGAAAAAGAAGAACCATGTATAGAAGAAGACCCTAAATTACGAAGTCTACCTCCTATTTTACTCCTGCTAGGGGCAAGAGGAAAGTTATCAGCTATGGGGACTCTTCTAGGGTTAGGGTCTGATTAAGACATGATAGTACGAGGAAGAAGCAAACAAAAATTCAAGAATTGAATATTCAGAGAACTTTATATGATAAGGATAAAGACGAAAACTATATTTATACTAAGAAGTAACCGTCAAAGAAAAAAGTGCAATGATGGAAAGGTCATAATTAGAACTGTCGCTTCATGATTAATGACACCATAAAAAAGCCTTAAAAAGTGATGCAAAGTTGCAGAGCCAATAAAAGGGTGTCACGTGTGATAAGCATTAAATGGAAGTGACAATTGAAGCGTCGATTCTACCGTAGCATTAATAGCAGCAAATATTCCCGCTTTAATAAAATCCACTTTCCAAATATTCAATTGATGAATAAATGGCAAGTGGGGGGACTATCTGTATTGGGAAAATCGAGTTTACATATTGAAGTGATTGGAAGATGATGTGTCATGACACGGAGGCTGGTCAAAGAGTGATGATTGGCAAAGAGGCACGAGTTGCAATAGAGACGAACTGATGTACAAGTAGAGGCACGAGCAGTTATTCAAAAGATTCAATGCTCGTACCTATTTATACCCAAAAATCAAGGAGAATGACTCTGACAGCACAAGAGAGTACAGATACAATATTTAATAAGCATTAAATATTAAAAACGTTAGAGAATCTGTATTAAACTACAATGATTATGTAACGTAGCATTTAATGCCTTTAATTGTCTATAATGGCCTTATTATGACAAAGGCAAAATGTATATCTTTGAGATAGCTATAAAAAGGAGAGAATGAGTCATTTGTAAGGACACGAAAGATCATTTGAATATACTGGTTTACTTTGTTTTCTTCTGTCTATCTTATTGTTAGCAAAATCACTTTCCTTTATTCAGTTTTGATTATCAGTAACCCGTATTTTTCTAAATTAAAGTTTTGACCGAAATTATACTTTTTGGTTAAACATTATACTTACCGTGGGAGCGGTAATCACGCTCTGGTCTATTGGCCAAGCTTCATCAAGCAAACTTGGTTTCTTCTCGTCTACTTAGAACTCAAGGATATAGTGGTACGAGCGTATAGAACAGATCTTGTTCAAGTAAAGTCATATGAGAAGATATTAATAGTTAAAAAAGTTAGTTTTAAAAAAAATTCAAAAATTAAAAAGATATTATTTGTAATGGTTTTGGAGCTAATGGTAACTGGCAGTTGTTACCAAAAGATAAATATCACAATTAAGTTTTAAATTTACACAATTATATGGATTTGAGTTGAAAAATCGATGAAAGTTGTATACTTTTTTGGTGTCAGATATTCTTAAACATTCTAAACATAAAATGAATGCCATATAAATTAAGAAACAACGGAGTAACAAATATAAAAAAAAAAAAAGTTTGATTGTCAAAAGGAATCTCTAAATCCTAAACAGTCAACACAAGATTATTTTTGCTATATTCCTTTCTTTCTGACCAAGTGATTTGCTGTTTTATCGTGTTTAAGTTGTAATAAAATTACTATCAATAATAAAATATCAAAAAAATATTCGAGTGACCTAAATAGGTGATGAATTCGAGCCGTGAAATCAATCATTAAGGTAGGTTGTCTGGTGTCACCCTTCCTCAAATACTGCGTGAACGCTCGATATCTTGTACATTCCTTTTTTAGTGTCCGGTAAATTTGTGATACTTAAATTAATTTACTGAATACCTAAGTGGAGTATACTTTATGAATGCACAAAAAATTTGACGTAGTACTAGCCGCTAAATCAAGGGTCCACACATTCCGTTCTTTTGTTAAACCCAATGGCCAAATTTAGGGGAGTTCACGGTTCGGTTTGGTCGGTTTTTTATTAAAACAAAAACCAAATTAATTTAATCGGTTTTTAAAATGTTAAAACTAAAACCAAACCAAATTACATACAAACCATCGGTTTGGTTGTTGTTGGTTTGGTTCGATTTGGTTCGGTTTTTCGGTTCCTAGTAAGCTAATGATAAGTCGATAATAATAAAACAACACTAGACAACAATCTGAAAATAATTTGCTAAATTTATGCTTTTTTATATATTTATTTCGGAACTGAAAGTTTATTTACCTGTTTATACGAAAAAATGAATAAAAAACAAACTAAAAATTTACTTTCTCAGGCTTTAGTTATTATAGTCTTGCAATTTGAGTTTGCTTTCTTTACTCTTGTCATAGATTTTTTTTTCTAACTCTTTTATTAGGAAAAAGTATGTGTGTAGGTTAGAGAATTAGATTCTCTTAAGGAAAAGAAAATTGGTCGATTCCTATTCTTTTGGGCTTAGGCAATCTTTTAAGATATAAGTAGGATAAATCAAAATTTAAAATAATAATTAAAATGCATAAAGTATTTATAATTATTTACGAAAAGATATTATATCATATATCAATAGTTATTCATATTTTTATATAATTAATCGGTTCAATTTTTTCGGTTTTTTAAAATAGAACCAAAACCAAACCAAATATTATCGGTTTTTAAAATTTAAAACCAAAATAAATCTAAATAAAAAAAAATATCGATTCAATTTTCTATTTGAATTGGTTTTCTGTCAAACCGTGAACAGCCCTACCCAAATTCCACGAAAAACAACAATTTCGCCTATTCATTAATCCAATCGGATAGGAACTTTTGAATCAGTTCCTTAGAATATTCTCCTTGCGATCCCCATCCATAGAATATAAGAAATATCCACCAGCATATTCGCATATCCAACAACACAAACATAATTGACCGTCTCCTTTAATCCAAAACTCGTGACCTACATCTTATTATTATTGCCCCATATTTTTACTGCCTGCTTTTAATAATCTTTAAATACCCCACAAAATCCTATACCAGTCGCTCTCTCATGCATTATTCATGATTGTTTCAGCTTGGCCTATAGAACAATAATTAATCTTGTGTTCTAATTGAAATAACAGATATTCAGATTTCTTGTTTGGTTTCTCTTTTTTTGTCAATCTCAACATAGAGCCATGGCTAGTTTTTATAAGAAATCTAAGGTTCTGTTCCTTTTGGTGGTTATTAGTTTTTTGATTTCTTGTTCTAATGCAACTGGACTTAAGAAATTTGAACACCCAACTAAAGGTAATGGCAATCTTCGATTCTTGGTTATTGGTGACTGGGGACGTAAAGGCGATTATAATCAATCTGCTGTTGCTCTCCAGGTAAATTTCTTTCGAAAATATTTGTACCTTTTTTCTTCTATATGATTTTTATCTATTCTTTTTGGTGTTTTGGATTGATAATTAATAATGTGAATAATTTGGATGCAGATGGGAAGAATAGGAGAGGAACTAGACATAGATTTTGTAGTTTCAACAGGTGACAATTTTTATGATAATGGATTAACAGGGGAAGATGATCCAAATTTTCTAGAATCTTTTACCAATGTTTACACAGCAAAGAGCTTGCAAAAGCAATGGTATTCAGGTGAATTTACAAACAAAAACTACTTACAAAATATAAATGCATTATTTTAATGATTTATAATTCTGAAATATTATTGTTGATTTGCAGTATTAGGTAACCATGATTACAGGGGAGATGCAGTAGCACAACTTAGTCCTTACCTTAGGAAAATTGACAGTAGATGGATTTGTTTGAGATCTTTCTTGATCAATGCAGGTAAAAGAAAAACACTCTCATTTTTCATTTTTTTTTGAATAAAAAATGTTGTTATTGGTTAAACTTTATTTATCGTGATTTTAATACATTAAATCTTCCTTTTACTTTTTGCAGAAATTGCTGAAATATTCTTGGTGGATACAACTCCATTCGTGAAAGAGTATTTTGTGGAAACAGAACATACTTACGATTGGCGTAATGTGATGCCTCAAAAAACATATACAGAAAACGTATTAAAAGTATGTTGACATGATTAAAAAAATTACGTACTATTTTAGGGAGATAATTTTATGATTTTTATTGAATTGTTTATATATGTTGCAGGATCTCGAGAATGCATTAAGTGAATCAACAGCAAAATGGAAAATAGTAGTGGGACATCATGCCATTAGAAGTGTAGGACATCATGGTGATACTAATGAACTTGTGGACCGTCTTCTGCCTATCCTTAGGGTAAATTGGTTTTTCTTTGTCCAATATTTGACAATTTACATCCCATAATTAATTTAGGAAATTTTCACTAGAATTTAACTTTTTTTTGTTGGGTTATGAACTATCAGGCATATGATGTAGATCTATACATGAATGGGCACGATCATTGCCTTGAACACATCAGTGATAGCGAAAGGTAAAGCTGGAGTTGAGATAAAAATGCATATATTTTTGTATTTTCTCTTATTCTAATCCATTTTTGGTTTAATTGCAGCCCCATCCAATTTTTGACGAGTGGAGCAGGATCAAAGGCATGGAGGGGAGATGTGAAATCCTTAAACAGAGAAGGAGTGAATTTCTTCTATGATGGACAAGGTTTCATGTCTGTCCAAATAACACCAACTCACGTAGAGATCGAGTTGTATGATGTTTTTGGCAAAGTTATACATAAATGGAGTAGGCCTAAGCAACTGCTTCACACGGCTATTTAGATTTTGCATTTTATTTTTTTAGAAACAAGGAGGATAGATTACAATAGACTAATCGGCTTTTATACATGTGAATGAAGTGAGGATTCGTTCCTACTTGATCGGGATTGAATGATAAAATTTTAGTAGTTGTAAATAGTTGAAGATAGATGCGGAAGAAATTGGCATTTGATTTTTGCAAGCCCTAATTTTCTCCTACAATAATAAAAATAGTCTATTTGATTTAGGGTTTATTGCGGCTCAAGAGTGTTTGTAAGTTGTACCTATTGTTAAATTACAATGCAACAACCAGCAAAGATATGTGTTTGAAGAAAATTTTGATCCTTTATCCAAAAATAATAGTTACGGGATAAATTAAAATCATACAAAGGTACATCTTCTCAGGGAGAGATGAGTAGCAATTTAACCTAACAAAAAGGAGATAAGAAGAATGAATGAAAAGAAAGATAGATATGTTAGAACTTGTATTTTGCTGCATGTTAATATCCAAACTTTCATCAAAGCAGTAAAGCACTCCTTTGGGCTTTGGACTCTGCAAGTTGTTTTGGATTGCGTGTTGTATCCACTCCTTTGGGCTTTAGACTCGAGGATACCGAGTAAAAGAGATTTTTATATTCATATACTATATATGAATCTATATTATCTTCCCGCCTCAACTTTTAATATAATTACCTTTTATATACCTAATTACCATTTATTTTAAGAGATTTAATAGTATTAATTAGTCTTCTAATTTAATTCTACCATATATTCTCACTCTCCCACGTTTCTCTCTCCAAATCTCACCCCCTCACCCACGTATCAAACCACACCCCACGTTTTCCTCTTCAATCCCCCACGATTTTCTCTTCTAAAACTAGCCAAAAACTGTTAACCCCTCCATTAACGCATTTTGCAAGTACTTTCTTCAAAAATCAGTCAAAATTTGTACTCTTCTTCAAAGTTCATACCCCCATTAACGACTTTTGCAAAGCTAGCTTCAACGATTTTCAATGAAGAAGAACATAGCTTCAAAGAACAGCCCTAACAAAGTTAAACGATCAGATGTTCCACCGTTGATAGCCATTAAAAAGATTTGAAGCTTTGAATTCGAATTTGGGTTTTCAAAAAATATTACTTGTTTGAATTGGGTGTTGTTGCAAAACAATTGGGAATTCTCTCTACGTATCTCTCTATCTCTCAATCCCTAATTTCAGTAATGTAAAGCAAAGAAAAAAAGAGCAGCAATTCCACCATTGATAGCCATTAAAAAACTTTGAAACTTTGAATTCGAATTTGAGTTTTCAAAATCATTATTTGTTTGGATTGGGTGTTGTTGCAAACAATTGAGAATATGGTTTGGAGTTTATTTTGAGGGTATTTTGGTGAAAATTAGACTTGATTTTTGCTGAATTTCAGATTGAAAGTCGAATAATAATAATAATAAGACGTGATATGCACTATATTTACAAAATTATAGTAAAATTGTAGAAATAATATAAGAAAATTGTAGATAAGTTGTAGATAAGTGTAGATAAATTGTGTAATATATAATTAGTTGTATGAAATTTATTTTTACTTTATATAAGTCAGATACAAAATATACAAAAGACATAAATTTTATATAAAATTTGTATTTAAGTTGTATGTTATTGTAGTTATATTTAACTTGATAGAAATAACGTGTGAAAGTTGTAGATAAGCTGTATAATATAATTACTTGAATGAAATTTATTTTTACTATGTATAAATCAGGTACAAAATATACAAAAAATATATTGTATAAAATTTGTATTTAAATTTTATATTTTTGTAGTTGTATTTAATTGGGTAGAAATAATATGTGAAAGTTACAGATAAATTGTATAATATATAATTAGTTGTATGAAATCTATTTTTACTATGTATAAATCAGATACAAAACATATAAAAGACATTGTTTTAAATTTTGTATCAAATTTGTGTTTAAGTTGTATGTTAGTTTAGTTGTATTTAACTGGATAGTGTACAAAAAAATTTCTATGAATAAATTGTGTGCTTATAAACGAATTCATAATATGTTAATAAACTGACAACTGAATAAATTGTGCAGACAAAGAGTTAGAGACAGATAAAACTAATTTTATAAATTCAAACCTAACAAAAAAATTACTTTGAGTTATAATTTGATGCACACAAAACCTGATGGAGGTCTGTGCCTGAACTTCTACGTTTTTTCTGTAGTTTTTTTTCGTCTTTCTCTTGGTTCCTTCAATAACAACATCTGATTTATAAATATGGAATACCATATCTTAGCCTACTTTTTGATTTTTTTTTTATAGTATTTGGTTTGGTTGAAGGGAAGCTTCCAAATTTGTGAGGTAACGTGGCTTACTAGCTAAGCTCATTTATTTGCTCATTTCCAGATTTTAAATTTTGATTATAACTGAAATAGTAGGAAATAAAATACAGAATATAAGTCGAAAAAAAAATCTAAATTGCATTTGTTTGAAGAGAAGAGGGGAGGGAGGAGAAAAAAAGGAAAAAGGGTGTAACTAAATCTCTTGATTGAAGGCACAAATAATGGATTTGGAAGCCTTTTAAGGTAGGTTGTATATTTTTTGTAAACAAAACTTGTTTATGCCGGGTAATTAGCTAAACATGAACATTAAGGGTAATAAAGTTTCAAATAGTGTGTAGGAATGAAAAATCCTTGAGTAAAAATAGGGAGAAATTCAAAAATAGCCAGATTTACAACTGGTCGTTCAAAATAGCTCAGTTTCAAAAGTAATCGAAATTTAGCCACTTTTCGTGTAAATATAAATCTGAGCAAAAGCACTGTTCAAAATCCGAAAAATACGCCAGTATAAGTTCCAGCATAAGTATACTTGAACTCCAGCATATTATACTGGAGTTCCAGGATAAGTATGTTGGAACTCCAGCATAATATGATAGAGTTCCAACATAAGTACACTAGAACTCCATCATAATATACTGGAGTTCCAGCAAGTATACCGGTCTAGCATAATATACTGGAATTTGGAGCACCGGTGCTCCAGTATCCAATATATTATACTGGAGCCAGCAAAGTATACCAGTCCAATACAATATGCTGGAGTTCATACACAAGTGCACCGAACTCCAATATATTATGCTGGACCGGTCACTGTTGTAGCAAAATAGTGGCTATTTTTCGTTGACTTGGTAAACGCTGGCTATTTTTGAATGACCAGTCTGAAAACTGACTATACCGTGCTATTTTTACGTAAAAATAGGGATAATCTACGTGGTATGCCCATTGAAAACATTAGTTAACACCATATACAATTAACATATTTATTTTACTTTGTATACCTACTTTATAAAATTATTTTACCATGTATATCTAAACATCAGTTAACACCATATACAATTAAAATATTTATTTTACTCTGTATACCTACTTTATAAAATTATTTTACCATGTATATCTATTGTATTCTAAAATATAATACTGTATATTTCAAATTAGAATATTGCGATATATTTAATTTGAATATTGTATTCCAAATTAGAATACTGTAGCATGTTTGGTTTGAATATTGTATTCCAAATTAAAAATGGATACTATATTCCAAATTAAAACGTTGTAGTATATTTTGTTTGGATACTGTATTCCAAATTAAAATAGTGTAGTATGTTTTGTTAGAATATTATGGTATGTTTAGTTTGGATATTGTATTCTTCATTAGAATATTAGGGTAAGCTAGGTTTGGATTTTTCAAATTAGAATATTATGGTATCTTTAGTTTGAATAATATATTCCAAATTAAAATATTATGGTTTGTTTAGTTAGAATATTTTATTGCAAATTAGTATATATGGTAAATTAGGTTTGGTTTGTATTCCAAAGTAGAATATCGTTATATGTTTTAGAATATATGGAGGCATAGCGTGTAATATTTTTGGGATATTTGATGTAATTTCAAAACTTAGGTATATCATGAAAGTGAGTTTTATAAACGGGTATATCATGTAACTTCCCCTAAAAATAGTACGAGCTAGTCAGTTTTCGGACTGGTCATTGAAAAATAGTCAGCGTTTGAAAGTCATTGAAAAATAGCCACTATTTTGCTGCAACACGGAAAGTTTCAGCATAATATACTGTAGATCGGTGCACTTGTGTATGAACTTCCAGCAAATTATGCTGGACCGGTATATTATACTGGAACTCCAGCATATTATGCTGGAACTCCAGTATAGTTCCAGTATATTATACTGCAGTATTTTCCGGAGTTTGAACTGTATTTTGGTTTAAATTTATCTTTACATGAAAAGTGGTTAAAATTTGATTACTTTTGAAACTATGACTATTTTTAAATGACCACTTGTAAATCTGGCTATTTTTGAATTTTTCCCTTACTGACGATCCACAATCCACAATAGGACCCTGGGTCTCTTGTTTCCACTTGGTGTTCCTTAAGCCCAATGGTTACTTTTGGATGTGGAGCTACTGAAACCGAAACAGGAACTGTTGGTCCATGGGTTATAATTAGTAATAAATTTCAGTAAAGTAACTTGCATGAAAAGAAAATCTACCTATGTTGAAATAAATCCACTACTACATGGATAGTATAAGAAGATATGATTAGTTTGTTTGCAAGAAAATACAGAACCTTTATTTATGGAAAGAAACCAATTAATGAACACAATACAACCTAATAGTGGCAGTTTAAGGTGTGAAATGGATGAGTCATTTAATTTTGACCCGACAAAAAAGATTATTTGAACTGAAACTAATACTGACCATTCAAAGTTTTCCGGTGAGGCCATGACCAAATAAATTACATCAACATTGATCATATTCCGATGAAGTCAAAATTGACAACAGTATAAAAACCAAGTGACCGGTGCTCCAAGTCACTTTCTCTTTCAGGTGAAACATCGTGGTCCGTAAATGGCACGTGTCATGATCAATTTTACTGCTGTGACTGTGTCAAAACTTATCGCCGCATAAGAAAACATGTGCTTAGGTGACACGTGGTAGCATCATTGACCGCTAGTCTGTAGCGTAATTTTCTGGGCCTTTATTTATTCATAACTTCTCGGAAGCTTGAGGAGGGTGGTGGCCGAGACCGAAGGAAAAAACCTTTACGCATCCCCCTTCAGCCTTCCAACTTCTTCTCTTCTCTTCTCAAACTCTCTCCCCATTTCCTTATCTAATTTTTTAAAAATATTCCGTATTCAACTTTGCTTTCCGGAATAACCACAATCTTATCTAAATTTTTCCTACCA